GTATATATGTATATGAAAACTATCTTAAGTAACTTTTAGTTAATGTTGTGACTTGTTTAAATCAGTTCTTGAAATTGACCTTATTTGCTTACTGGAGAAAAAAAGCATCCAGACAATTAGTTCTCAATTATGTATTGATACAAATTTTAAATCAAAATTGCAAAAAATACCAACTTTCTAAGTATATGTCATTTAAAAAATAATCATTTTAAGAATAGTGTTTCCTATGAGCAAGTTTTAAGTTTGTAAATAGATACTACTTTTATGTTATGCAACTATGCCACTTGTTATATAATTTGTCAAGTTTTAAAAATATTTATTATGATATAAATTGTGTGTGAACCATGACTCTAATATTAGAAAGTAGATTATTGCAATATAAATAGTTTTAGTTTAAAATTCCATCAGATGAGGCTAAGTTAGTATGCCTTATTTCAAGTCTTTGAACTGAATTCATAGAGGTTCATAGAGGTTTTTTTTTTCTTTTTTTAGTTAAAAAACTTTTGTTTCTAACAGTGGCTGTAATTTATATGGTTTTAGGTATTGTGGATTATTAATCCTGAAGGGCATTTCCATACACAAAATGATCTCTACATTCATATAGAAATTATAATAATTTTTACTGGTTTTGAAGATAAAACTGTCTTTTTTAACTCACATTATTATTAGCCAGACTGTAACAAAACTCATAACTCAGAATATTTGGATATTCACAAATTTGTAATTGGGACAACAATACAAATATTAGAGATGCTTTGCTTCTATTGTTAATTTGTAACAAACTCGAGAAAATACATTTCAAGAAACTGAACATTTCATATCTTTTTCTAGCCTATACTTTTGAGGATGAGTTGCAATGTTTTCTCAATTTAATGGTTGATTTTATAGGCACATAATTGTTTTGTAGATTGAAATTTGAGACTTACAAATAATGATTTAAAGTACAAATGCTAGAGGAAAACACTCAAAGCACTTAAAAATAAATTGTACTACAAAAATACGTTCTTAAAATCTATATAGCATTTATGTTTATAGTTGTATAGCTACAAATAACTAAATTCAATAGCTAACTGAAATAATAGTCTCCAAGTATTCTGATGTCATGAATATTATTTCTTTTCAAGAAGCTCAGTGTAATATGGCAGAATGTGTTACTTTTTAACATTGTGAGAATGTCATTCTGTCATTTCTCTGATGTAATGATAGCTGCACCTGTGCACTATGGAGAAGGCACAAGACTGAAGTTCTTTCACTGTCATCTCTTCCAGGTCCTTAGCCCTTCTCCTCTGTTGTACCTAAAATTTAAAAATACTTTTCCCAATATGTCATCTGCATCTTCATTTTCTATTTTTATATTTAAACATTTACATTACTAATATGAAATATAAAAAGAAAAAGTGATAATGTAGTTGGTGGAATTTTCTACCTATCAAATATATTTCATTCTTGCTCTCCTTTGCCTGGATTTCCATTCATAGTTCTGTTCTGGTTCTAGGCTGGCACTGTTGTGATACCAGGAACCACATGATTCTCAGGCTAATGATGGATTCCAGGAAACTGGTTCTAGGGTATGATTATTTATTAAAAAGTGTACTTAGTCAAACTCATCAGTTCAATACTTTTTTTTGGATTCATATAGGAATTGTCATGGTTCTCTATTAATCTTTAGTCCTAAATATCACCATTCCCTGCTTTGCTATTCAAGCAAAAACATTGGAACACAACTCACAAAGAATAAAATAAGTAAATTCTTTGTCAAATGTAGACTCTATCAAGTTCCTTACCTGACTCAGTAGCAATCATACACCAACAAGATGTTTCTTACACCTACTGATGAATGTTATTAGAGTACAAAACTGAGGGTTGGTAGGCATTATAAACATTTTGATTGGGAGTCTAAAATATTCCATGTAGAAACCATAAATCGTGCTCATAAAAATTGGAGTACTTAGGTAGGTTTGACTAAAGTAAAACCAATGAACAAAAGCAATTTTCATAAGTTTTCCCCATACCCTTCCACTATGCCTTAAGCAATATTATCAAAGAAAAAGTCTAAGCTGCACGCATATTCCTTTTCAGGTAGAATCTATTACCTTCTTAAGTCAAAACAAATCTTTGATAAAGGATGTTTATTTTTCTAGTATGGGGAACCAATTAAAAAGCAATAATTATAAATAGTATCATTTGGATCCAGTATAAAAACCACAGATAACCACTCTGCACTCCTTTAATCTTGACTATGGGTATTGACAAGGCAAAAGCAATAACTGGCTTGTGGTGATGTAATTTAAAATTCTATATTCTGAAGAGAAAAACTGTCTTCTAACAGTTAACAGCAGTAATTTCAATTTAATAAGGTCTTGAATATTTTTTCTTCTAATCTTAAAAGGCCTGGACTGGTGAAATATTTTCCTCAAAAAAACTTAAATAGGAACCAGTTCAGTCAGGCTGACACCTAATGGAAACTTGTATAAGAAAATAATTCAGTAAAGCAAAGAAAGCTATAAAATAAGTGTTTAAACCACTGGTTTAAAAGAAACACACACAAACTACTTTGTTTACCATGAGTGAAGGGTTCCTTTAGACTTTATTACTAGCATTTGCAATTATTCCATTCTAAAACTTATTAATCATTTATGAAGCAACTGCAATCATAAGCTGAAGTGCCAGTGTCAAAGAATTGAACGAAATGGGTTATTTTCAAAAGTTCTTCCTCATTCCCACAGCAAAGGACGGAATATTACCTCTTACATTCCTAAGGAACCCTAACACTGGGCCCTCAGCTCTGTCTTTAAAGCACACACACTTACTATTTAGCCAACCAGCATGACACCAGCTTTCCATAGATCACCTAGGAACTCCATTATGTTGCTCTTTCTACTCTTCTAATTGCCCAGTGAAACAATGCCACCAGTAGGCATACATACTGTGAAATATACAACAAGCACAATATTTAAAAGCCCTTAATCCCTAACTGGTGGATCCCTAGAGATGGAGGGTAATTCATGGAACAGGGGAGGAAAGAACACTCCTTACATATTTTCCTGCTAGCGACAGACAAGTGCAGAGTCACCACCTATGTTTTCTGTTCTACCTCCTTCCAATCTTTCCATGGAAATCGCCCTGAGAGAATCTTAAAATGGACCCATCCTTTTCCCTGCAGACCTGGGTGCCTAACCCTAAGGGTGGTGAGTTTAGTTGTCCTGAGAGTCATTGTGGGATCAGACCGCAGGACAGAAACAGAGAGGAGGGGCGTGAAGTACCTGTCACTAGGAATTGTGAGTACGGAAGAAGGGCAAGTAGCTAGGTGGGAGAGCCAGAGCCTCCGCCTGCCTCCTCCAAAGCACCAGTCTCTCCGCCGCTCTAGGGTTCAGACTGCTTTTCTGGGCAAGAACCCATTGGGAAAGAGATAATTGGCGCCAGAAGAGGCACATCCACCAGAGGGAGAAGGTGACTGGGGCACAGTTCAGTTTAGAATGGGTCCGGGAGCACCAAGAAGGAAAGCGTGTGATTTCATTTCTCCTGCAGCTTCGACTTCTCAGGGATTCAGTCTTCACAGACCCCGCCAGACCGTCGGCCGGCACGCAGGGAGGAGACCAGTCTTCCGGTCTTGGCTGGTGGGGTCTTCTGGGCGCCGAGTAGGTTCTGGACCCCAGCGTTCCTCCAGTCTTTGAAGGGCCACCACCGGAGGGGCGCTGGGATCTGCCAGAGAGAAGGCTGAGCAGCAGGGCTGTCGTCCGCAGCCAGGAGCTGGAGCCTCAGCCCTGGCCTTCCACCGTGGCTCACCTCTCCAGCTGCGTCTGAGATCTCAACTCCGGCCACGTCTGGCGGTGCCAGGGCACCATCTCTTCAGGGGCTCGGTGGGAGGGGACACATCCGTATTGTTTTACCGTCCATTAGTATTTGAAACAAACACACAAAACTGGCAGTAAGAGGGAAAGGCTTTCTCTTCCTCCCGTCCCTTCGCAGCAGACCTGAGAGGGGATCACGCCTTGGGTTTGCTGGTGTTTGAGACGCATCCTAAAAGCAGAGGCAGGGAAGGCAGCGCTGAAGAAGTGTCCCAAAGCAACTGGACTTCTGAACAGTCACTGCCTGCCCCAACCTCTTTCAGGAAGGTTTCCAGTTCCGTGCCACAGTGCAACCAATCCGCTTCCCATCCTGTTTCTCCACCTCTTCGCGGAGAATCCGAAAAGGAAAAAAAAAATCTCTCTATATATGGGATCCTGAGAGACCCGTCGCACGTCCAACTTGAAAGTTCCGCGGGGACCCAGCCCGCAGCCCGCGCCCCTCCCCAGCCTGGCTGCGGAGTGGCTCCGCCGGCCGGGGGTGGGGCTCCGGCGCCGCCCCGCTCGGGATTCGCGAAGTCACGAGCTTCCGAAAGCTTGCGGGGGCACCTGCGCCCACAGACACGCCCTTTTCGCGGAGGCAGTCCCAGCAACCCTCGGCTGAGCTCCAGATCCCCTCCAACAGCTCTGCCAAGGGCTCCAGGCCTCACGGTCACCGCCAACTTCAGAACATTCCCCAGTCCGCTCTCCGCTCCCAGCCGCACCCCCAGAGAGAGAACAGAGTCGCCAGCCAGGGACGCCCAGGCACCCCGCAGGCTCCGGCGCACACCCCCTTCCTTCCTCGGCCCCTCCCTCCCCTCCGCCTCGCCCCCCGCCGCCCCCTCCCTGCGCGCACCCATTTTCCAGTCCGGGTCACCACAAGTGCGACGCAGAGCCTCTCTGGCGGACCCAGAGCAAAAACACCCAAGGAAAAGAAAAGATAAAAAAGTGCTACCTTGGCAACCACAGGCGTTTAGTGGCCAGTTGGTGGGCTGGGAGGGGCGGCCGCTGCCCGCCTGCCGCTGGTACTCTCCTCGACTACGCGTATTCTTAAGCAATAACAACGTAATCCGTATTATCCACCCAAGAATACCCGTCACCGAAGAGAGTCAGAGGACCAAGCTGCCGCTGCCACTGCTACCGCTGCCGCTGCTACTGCTGCGCCGCCACCAGAACTCTTGCTGCTGAGCCCGCCCCTGGCTGGGGCTGGGCTGAGCTTGACCGGGACCATAAATCCATAACTCGATTTCCCTAAAGAAGGATCCAAAGCTGGGCTCGGCTGCTTCCTGCCCAAATCCAAATGGCTGCTCTGTTTCCCAATCTGAAAGACAGGTCACAAAACCAAGCACTTAACACAGGAGGGGAAGAGTGCTCTCTTTCCTTTGAGGCGGGACAAGGCGAGGCTCTTTGGGCGCGGGGTGAGGAGCAGCCTTCACTTTACCTGGTGATCTGCCAGCATCTTCCTCTGTGCCTGCTCTTCTTGCATCCTTTCTCGTCTCAGCTAGCCCACTCTAGGTGCTTTGACTGAGTGTTATGGCAGCGAGAGAGACCTGCAAGAGATATGCATGTTAAGCACACAAATATTACAAACGTATTTGCCTAGACAGCTTTAGGAAGAAGTGAGGCTCAAATAAAGACTGGGTCACGCATGGGTGAAATTTTTAGCAGTGTGTTTTGGAAATGCATTTTTCACAAGCTCAAAATCATAGATTATAAACAGTCATTCGATTTACTACTTGAAACCAAATACTTATAAATCTACAAAAATAGGCATCTCTCCTTTGAAGGCCTTACAGCTATGTACAACATAATGGTTTTTTGAAGAAAAAAAGCTTCAAGGCACACAATAATTAAACCCATTTTCCGTAGTATCTGAACTCACTAAGTTGGCAAGCTGTTAGTTTCTATGATTTAAGCATTGTTTTGTACTACCACAATGTTTAATTTCATAGCCCACCCCTCTTATATACAATATAAATGCATGGGTGTACAGCTGCTCTGAACACCTCTACAAAAAAACCGTTTGAAGCTTTGTCTTCATAAAAATAATTTAAGAAGAAGGCCAAGAAAAACTCATTTGAAAAGTGACTAATTTTGGCATTCAGGAACAGAATCTCTGGTTCTTTGGTGATCAATATGGCTTTTACTCCAAAAGCTTTGTCTTAAGACCCTGCAGTGGATATTCTGATAATAGGGGTTTATTGTTCACTAAATAAAATGGACAAGTGCAACGTCACTACACAAGACATGTTGTAGCTCCATTAGAAAGTTCTTACTTTCCCCTTTACTCGCAAATACATGGAAGTACATCCATCCATGAGAGTGGAATAGCGGTGGAAAATAGAAACATGGCAATAGACATTATGGTTTCTCAAATTATGTAAGGGCAAATAGCTCTTCATCAAGGAGTAATTATATAACAGAATCTTTCCCACTACCACAACTCATCTCTGACCTGGTTGTAATTTAAGACATTTACATTGTGCTTGCTCTTATTATTGTTTTCAATGTAACACCAGCTCATCATTTTCCTAACATGTTACTTCCAAACAGAAAACTCAACATGAATTCTAGGTTTTATAAACAGATGACTGGTATAGAATGCCTCATGCATAAAATAATTCAAAAGAAAAATGGCATTGCCCAATTACTATCCTATTTCACATTATTTTAAGATAACTCTTAGGTACATCATTTACAAAAAAACTGATGTCAATTAAACAAATTAATAAGCACCATTTTCTACTCTTACCTAACAAGCTATAAAGTCTACGACCAAAAAAAAAAAAAAAACCAAACAGGCAGCTGACAGGTTCTCTTCAGCTTGAACTCCTAGAAACAAAAGCCCTTAGGGAAAGTAATGCAATAGTCTATGAGCAAAGTGTACATTTGCTTCTGAACTCTTCCATTTAAATTTCAACTACCTTTAAAAGGAAAACAACACACATTATACAGATAGGATCTGATTTACTAAATAAAATGTTTTTAATTCAAAGGAATGGCTAAAGCATACACACATACACACACACAAGCACGCACACAGAGAAACACACAGTGCATCAGAATCACAGCATAAATACCCACACAGTTTTTCAATGCTTTCCGAATAGTCTCCTTTAGTTTAGTTCCTTCACAAATCTCTCTCTGTCTCTCTCTGTCTCTCTCTGTCTCTCTCTGTCTCTCTCTGTCTCTCTGTCTCTCTGTCTCTCTGTCTCTCTGTCTCTCTCTCTCTCTCTCTCTCTGACCTACACACTCATAAGCTTTAAGAAACTAGAAAAATGCAGTTCATAGGCTTTTCTTTCTACTCCAGTAGCAGCGCCAGTGGTCTCCCTACCTACCCAAATAGTCACCAGCTTCAGCACCTGGACGAGTGGACAGCTCAGCCCAGGCTGACGGCCGGCAGCACTCGCAGCGAACTGACGCTCTGAGATCTAACCAAAGCTCTCTCGTGCTTCAGCGGGGCAGCCTGACTTAGGAGAACACCATTTCCTACAAGACCACTGCTGCTGGGTGCATATTCAATTCAAACCTCCTTAAGCTGTCGGATTTCCCCCACCCATCCACCCTCCCTCCTTTTCCACCCTCCACACAAAAACAGAAAAGGGAAAAAAGCCCAATACTATCAGGGCGTTTGTTGATCAACTTACACTCTGCTTGGGAATATTGAGACACTGCTAGCGGAGCAATATCATCGGAGGCTTAGGTCCGCATTAAGTACCTTTGTTCATCGACTCCTGCAAGCCATGTTTATTAGAATCTACAATTCTCTCGCGCCCCAGTAACTAGAGGTGTGTTTTGCGGGAGGGGGTGGGGGTGCTTTCGGTACCTTTTGATCTGTCAAGGCCACCGCCGCCGCTGACTGCTGGTCCCCACTACTTTCCCACCCTATCCCCCACGCTGCAACACCCATTCCGCTTAATCGCTGGGTAATTAGAAACCAAATATACAGAAAGAAACGCGACAAAGCCCTGGGTTTGAGGAAATAAGCCAATTAAGCTAAAGCAGAAAAACCTCTCTCTCTCTCTATCTCTCTCTCTCTCCCTCCCTCCCTCCCTCCCTCTCCTCCTCTCCCTCTCTCCCCCTCTCCCTTGGCTCCCTCCCTCCCTCTCTCTCTTTCCCTCTCAAGTAGAAAGGGGGAAACACCAAGGAGAGGGGAAAATTGGGAGGAGGGTGGTAGCTGACTCTTACAATCAATGGAAAAAACACTATACACATCTTTACTGAATAATACTCTCCTTCTCAGACAAAAAGAAACACATTTATCGATGTAAACATTCTCCCTCTCCCACACATCCTGCATCCTGAACGTCTGCTGAGATTTGTCTTAAGGTACAGCAAAGTAACTGTCACAAATCCATCTCGATTGAAGTGCTTACCCTCTAAATCCAGGTTTCAAGCGGAACTCCAACTGTGTGTAGAAGCCAGGGAGTCATCTGCTGTGCGGTGAGGTAGGTCTGGGCAGTGGGAGCTGCTTCCTTCCGAGTGCCGGGTTACAGTGTTAACAAGCCCTGGGAAGGGACCTCGGCGCTTTGCTCTGGCTTTGCCCCAGTGCCTTCGCCTGGTGGCGGCTGCTCACGCTTCCGAGGAGTCCCAGGCGATAGCCTTCAGCTGATGCGAGCTTCCAGAAAGGAGTGGGGAAGGGAAAAAATCGTCTAATGCAATCAAATCGATCTGATCTACACCATCTGTCGCCTGCCACTATACACAAACGTTAAAATAGGAAAACGGAAAACACTGACAGCCCGATAGGGTTGGTCTGCAAAGAGTTCATTTTTAGCAGAGCATAATTGGGTATGGTCGGCGTACAGTTACAAAAGCTGCTGTTAACCATCCAGTAGTGGATCCCAAACATGCTAATGGTGGATTAATTGAGGAAGATCTGACGTGCGAGCTTCATAGTCTCTTATTCATGACTTCCCAATGGGAAAGGACCAATGCCTTGTGGGACTATGGTAACATACAGTCAAAAAGCTGCTAAGAAAATGGCTGTGTGTTCACAGCACCTCTCTCTGATAACAAACATATGTCGACTAAAATGGTTTAGTAGAATGGGAGGGGGTGTTGGAGAATAAAATATTCTTTCTTGGTGTAAGCAGCCCCCATATTCTTTCCTTAAAGAAAAGCAAAAATAGCATATTTTTATCATAATGGGTGGAAAAGGATGTTTTAAAAGGTTTTTATCAAGATCAAACTCTGCCATATAAAAGAAACGGAACACTCCTGTGCAGCAATTCCTAAAAAAAAAAAAATCTATTATCATTTTCCCCTTACTGCGATCAAAGTAAATCCATAGCATGTGCTGTATATAGAAACTCAGCCCAGTTAATCCCATCAGGATTGACTCAGGGTTGTTTAATGCCAGGTACCCTTTTGACTTCTTGAAATCAGGATGCCTTTTGGGCAAGGCATTGTGTATCATTTAAAATTGACATAATGAACATTAAATGTGATTGCAGTCAGGAAATGAGGATAGTTTCTTTTTTTTTAAAATTCCGCAATCCCCTTTGGTCTGTTTCCAGTCCTTTCTGATCAGTTAATGGGGTAGCCAAGGAATAGGAGTGTGGAGATACCCAGGGGAAGGCAAAGAGAGTGTAGACTATCAATAGTCAATAAATTCCATTCTATCTGTAACAGAAAAATAGCAATAAAAGCTAGATCACTTATTAATTATTGATCGTATTTAAATATAAATCCATTTTAAAAATTAATATTTTATATGTGGAAAGAAAACGTATTGTAAATGGTAGGGTGACTAGCTCTCATCTATTTGTAATTATTTGATTTTACAGAAGGAATATTGAGTTTATTATCTAGATGTGCAATAATGTTTCATAATCTATTCTAAATATTCCATATTTACTCTAATTTTGTCACTCATTGAACACTGAAAACTCTGTTCATTTGATTCTGCTGTCTTTTTCTAAGACCACATGTTACACAAATTCTACAATAAACAATTATTATTTAGGATAATCCTTGAGGTAACTAAATGTGTCTCCATGAAACTTTGATAATCTCTTTAAAGAAAAAAAAACCCTTATGAGTTATGAATTAGATTACTCTAAAAATATTGCTTGAAGACAAATCAAACAATTTACCTGATCTTTTGTTTCAATATACATTAATTAAGCACTCTTTCCAACCTACACAACATTCCAGGGTCAGAGTCAGAAATCCAAGTCTAATAGCTTAGCAGCCTTTGTTGTCATTCGCGTCAAGCTATTGCCCCCTGCAGGTTAGGCTGAAAGTGCAGGCAGAATTTGGCCAAATACTCAGGAAATTTATGGTAATGGATGTCATTCAAATTTTAAGCTTTGTTTACATTACAGTTTAAACTATTTATTTAGCGGTACTCGTAAATCAGGAAAAAAATGGGCATTAAGAATAGATGATTTAGGTTTTCTTCCCAGAATTTAGCTAGCCTGAACAGACTACCCACTTTGTTTTGACACACAAGGCACCTTGGCGCACTTAACTTAGTTTTCTCTATCTTCCTTTATTCTTTCCCCCAAAGACCCAGAAGGATTCCAATAACAAGTGAGACAGAATTGAAATGATGATTTTTCAGTGATGTAGTCTTTGGTAATTTACTAGTTGGTGTCAGTGTGCCCCTGATAGTGGCAATGAAGTTCGTCCAAATCAAACCCTTTCAGACTTTACCCACTGGTGACACGATGAGGACAATTACACTGTTTTTTCTTGATTGTAAAATGAAACATTTCAATCTCCATGTTCCTGCCATGCCATCCTCCTTTCCCACAATCAACTTCTCCAAAAAAGGCCCTTTGCCAAGATGAGATAAATTCATAATTGACAGAATAGAAATTAAATTACATCAATGTTTTCTCATTATTAGAATGTGGAGTAGGTTTATGGGGACAGTTTTAAAAGGTTTAAAGGAAGACACTTTCATATTTTGGGAGTCAATGATATGGTTCTTCACACTGAGCTGTAAAGAAACCTGCAATGATATGCTCCTGCTATTTAAACATACAGCTCATTGAGAAATGGAATATCTTACACAAAATAGTATATACTCTAATGTGAAGTCAGCAATCAGTGAGTTTTACCAAGTCAAATATTAGAAGTATTATTTCAACATTGTGTGGAAGTATTTAGAAACATGAATTGCATTTTTGTATCTTAAAGCTTTTCGGAAATGCTCACTTAAGTAATGATAAGTGGCAAGTCTCAGGGCTTTCTTAGATTTTTTTTTTTTTACTTGAACCACTGATGCTTTTTCTAGAACCATCAGAATGGTCACTTGAAATAGGAATTGAAGTTGGCTGTGTCATATTTTACACAATGCTAATAACAAACATCAACAAAATCCCCGATTGCCTCTCTGTTTTATTACTTTTTTTGTATGTTGTTACATTTCAAGAGGACACTATATCTATAAATAAAAGGCTTGGCCTCTAAGCTTCATTAACACTCTTGCTCCAAGCAAAGAGGGGCCTTGGACCAGACTGCTGGACTATTAATTGCATAAGCACGTTAGAGCCAGAATAGCAACTGGTTGCTTGCAGCTGACAATTCTTGTTGCATTTCAGTGGGTGTTATCAAAGGAAAGAAAGTTCACTTTTGTTTCAAAATCGTATATCATATGCATGATTGTGTATACAGAAACACGTTGCGATTGAGCCTGAAGTTTGCAAATATCTTGATTCAAATGGCTGTCACATACTCATCAGCAGATTTGTTCTTCATTAGAGTCTAGAAAAGAGAGATGGAGTCATTTGACCTGTGTCTGAACCAAAGGGAAGGTTTATAAAGTTCTCCTCATACCAGACATAGCAGATTGAATGTGTCCAGAATAACAGGTCCTTACTCCTTTTACTATCACAACTCTGTTTCTAAAGAATCAGAAAAGGGTTCTAGAAACCTTGTAGCGCTGTTATTGCCGGAATCCCGGGTTATTAAGCATATGTTTCCTCAGGATTCAAAGACCTTTCAATCCCCTTCACGTACATACTGACTCAACAGGGTTTCCACTTGGCTGTGTGTGTGTGTGTGTGTGTGTGTGTGTGTGTGTGTGTGAATTCATCCAGAAAGCGCTTAAGTTTCCAGAGGTTTTCAAATGCAAATGGGGTGGGAGTGGCGGAGGTGGTGTAGGAACACGGGGTGTGGGTGTGGAGGGTTTTGGGGAGAGGGTACGGGGCGGGGTGGGGGGTAAACTTTATGCAAATCCCAGATCACAGCTATCACTGTAGATCAAAACAATTAGGTCTGAGAGACTTCCTTAGCAATCTACAATGCCTTCCTCCTCTACACCGAGGCAGTGCTTGCGCAGTTTTGAGAGAGGGTCCTGCGGAAAGCCCAGGCCAGTTCTCGCGGCCTCTGGGCTGGACCAGGCTCTGCTCTGAGCGCGCTGCTCGGCGGCCCCGCGGGCGAGCCTACCGCTTCCCACGGCGACTCGGGCTCCAGCGCCAGGCGCTGGCGCGGACCCGCTTCCGTTCCGGGAGAGCGAGGGGCCCGAAACTTCACCTTCGCCCTGGACCTCAGAACACCGACCCGAGGCCGAAGCAAAGGTGTGGTTCAAGCCGGACAGAAAGGACGGCGCTGCTCCTCCCGGCCGGGGACCTGCGCGTTGCGGCCCCGCGGGATGCGGTGGCCCCTGGGCCGCGCGCTGAGCTTCCCCGCACTCGGGCCGCGCGCCTCCGGTCCTCGGGGTCCGGCCCGGAGGCCTGAGCTCGCGCCCCAAGCCCTGGCCGGGAAGATGCCATCCCGGCCCGCGGCGACCCGAGCCCGAGGCGGGAGCCAGACGGCGCCGCCGGACTCGGGCGAGGGGTAAGGCCGGGCTGGGACCCCATTTAGGGAAACGGCCTGCTCCAGAGGAAGTCCCCAAGTGTCAAGTGGCCCCGGGAAGGCTCCGCGGGGTTGCGGGGACTCCACAGTGCAGTTCGGTCCCGCGAGTGTCTCTCCAGCCCTCGCCTTCTCCCCTCCACTCCCCTCTCCACAGCCCCCGCCCCGCGCCAGTCCCGGGCGGCGGAGGCGAAGCCCACCGAGCCTAGAGAGAGCGAAGCCGCCCCCTGCTGGCCAGATGAGGCAGGCGCGGCCAACAGCTCCGCTCCCCTCCGTCCCGCCGGCGCGCCTGCCCGGACCCAGCGCGACCCTCCTGTGCCCCCAGCGAGGGGGACGTGTTCAAAGAAACAGAAAACAAAACAAAAACAAACCAAGGGCCAAAACCACTCTCACCTCGTTTGCTGCTCAAAGGTAAGTGTGAGTTCAGCTTCTCCCATGCGTTTCTCTGACCCTTTTCTACACCTGTTTGAGGTCTGGGGGAATGGAACCATCCCCTCCCCAAATGAATCATTGCTTCTCTTGAAAGCATGTTTTGCAAGCAAGCATCAAGATCACTCTCTCTCTCTCTCTCTCTCTCTCTCTCTCTCTCTCTCACACACACACACACACACACACACACACGCACGCACGCGCACACACACACACACACACACACACACACACACCACACACTCCTCCTCAGCCAAACCCACACTTACCAGTCTGGAAGAAGCATTTCATCAGCTGTTGGAGGCAATGTTTACAGATATTTCAGGTTGTAGGCAAGGGCAGTAATCATTCTGTGAATTGGGGAGGGAACAAAAGAGGAAACAAGATTCTCTTCCTGTAGCTTAACTTTCCTTCCCTATCTGTGCTTTGGAGTCCTACTTTCAGATTCAAGGCCTGGCCAGGGTAGAAAAGTTCCAGACTCATACTGAGGAGGGACAGATTCTTCCACTTCTGTAAGGTTTCCTGTGGCCCTGCCTCTCAACCAAGGACCTCTGCAAGGCAAAAGATCTTTTGTTTATTGAGGCAATTCATGACTTACTTTTGTAAGGCTTTTTCAAATTAGTTTAGCCTTGAAATAGGCTATAGGCTTTGAGTGGCTGGGTTTTCCTGTTCTCAGGAAAAGGTTGTTAGAAATCACAATGTTTCTTTCTGTTCGGGCAACCTTGAGTTAGATAGATGTGGGCGTAGAATCTTATTATCATGACTTTCACAAAAGTCCCTTGTCTCTGGATGTTTACTGTCTTTGCACAGGCATAGATAATCCCCCTCCTCATGAACTCAGGCAAATGATAAGTATAGATAGGTCCAGTGAGGGACTAGGGCTAATCCTTCTATTTTCTTCTCTCATTCTTCTGGGAAATGAAATTAAAGGATTTGGACCATCCTTGAAATTAGTTTACAGTAGGCAAACTCTAGGAATCTTTTAGAATGGCATCTGTCATCTTGCTTATTGTTTTCAAGTGCATAACAGAATCACCGATTTTAATATGGAAAGGAATGGGGCTGGTCTAAGGAGGAATGTGATTTCCCTCTTTTATATCTATCAATCTAGCAGACCTGAGCAGGCCATGCAGAGTTAACCCTCCTAACTGAGGTAAAATAACAATTACAATAATAAAAACTATCATGTTTGAGTTGCTATTGCTGTGGCTTCTGCTTTTAGTATCTCATTTAGTTTTCACAAAAATCCTATGGATTAGATACTATTATAACTTTTCATTTTACAGAGAAGGAAAGCAAGGTTTAGAAAGGTTGATTTACTTACCTATTGTTATGTTAATTGGTAAATGGAAAAGTGAAATGTGAACATGGACTATAGAAGTGATATCTTGAGAAATCAGATATACTGTATTAAATTCAGAGTGGTAATTAAACTGGAAATATTTTAAAAGTCTGAGTAATAGTCTTTTACACAAAAAGGACTTTTGTCCTGGACAGAAAAATTTAAAAGGAAATATTTGCTCTGTAAAATACCTTTCATGAAGTTTTCATTCCCATTTCATAGATGAGAAAACAGAAAATGAGTTGATATAGCTATCACAGTAAAGTGGATAGACAGGCCTTAAATCCAGATTTCTGATACTAGCTACTCTATCCATTCCACTTAACCACAACGCAGAAACATAGATTCTTTATTTTTCTCAAAATGCTAAATAGTGGGTCATGAACAGCTCAGAGCTCATAATTCTCAGTGATGAAGCTTTCTTTCACCTTCATTCTGAATACCTTCTTACACAGAAAGGATGTACATGAAGAAATAATGCTATTCTCACTGGCAAATAAAACAACATAAAAATGGAAAAGACTAAAATAACTACATCAGCTTTGCTTGAAAAACATTTAGAGCAGTTATAAAGATATTTGAAGGCCCTTCTCAGTCATGACCAATTTTGGTCATCTCTACCTCCCAAAACCCATCCTAGCCTACTCCAGGAAAGTCATTCCACATTATATTGCACAAAGGAGTTTAATACTGACAATTTGGTGCTTTTCATCTCCAGTTGTATATCTCTCCTTTGCAACAATGAATGGTTATGATAAAAATGTCAAAAGAAATCTCTGGTGTGAAGAAATAAATATATAAATTGGCCAAAGAATTTTGACTGGCATTCACATTTTAATGTGCACTGAGGTATGGTGCAAAGACTGATTTATCCTGTGTGTGCAGTTTGCTCATATCTACAGTATCATAGGACACCAGATGAAGACAGCCTCAAGTCACTGCTTGGTCTGCGGCTTCTGTGTATTGGCTTGTCAGTGATATGTGTGCAGGCTACTTGGCCACATGGCCTCCTATCATGTTGGCTATCTGTGATTTTTCCCAAGCTTTAATTTAGTTGAATATGATTGTTAATATCATGTTGAGAATTTCCTCCTTCCCACCTCTCATTAAAACCCTTAGTGTGAATATCAGTTTGGAACTATTATGTTATATAACGAAACCTGCTTATCTGTGAATTTATGCCATAAATGCTTTCACAGATTTTTAGACCTGAAGTGATTTTTGAAATTATCCAGCCTAACCTTTTAATTTTGTCCATGAATAAATTAATGCATGGAGAAATAGTCAGAATTCTCAGAGTCACCCATTAGGTCAGGAAGAAAAGAGGCCTGGAACCCAGGTTTTACATATTCAAGCTCTACAGCCTGTTCATTCTCATAGCTTCGTGTCCTTTCTTATTTGATTGTCAGAGATCCAATCTTCCATTCAATAACGAATTATTGCCATGAACTTGGCAGTTGTCCTAGACATTAAGAATTCAACAGAGGGGGCAAAAAATTTGAAAAAGGCCTTCATTTGTCCAGACTTACATGGATGAAATCAAATGCTCATGTGAACAATGGTTAAAAAAATTTTATAAAGACATTTTTCTCAAAATAAGTTTCTCATGTTTTATAGTAGGCAAGACAGAGAAAAACTATCTAATATTCATCTGCATTGCCATGTTAGAGAAATTTGGGGAAACACTGGTGCTGAATAATGAAGTTACACTCTGGAAATTAGTAAATTAGTAAAGGAATATAGCAAATCTTAAACAGGAAAACAGAGTTCTCTGAGATCATCCATTCATGGATCAGGGATGACCCTTCCAGCATCTTTCTGGACTGGGGATAAATACCTGTGGGAAAATATAGACTTTGCAGGAGTTGGGATAAAGAAACAAGGAGGAGATTAAATAGGAAATTATTTAACTAGATGCTTTTTTAAATGACATATTGTAAATATATATGAGATTGTCCTAGGAGGTGGACCAAGGGCCAAGGCTATTGTAATTCTAAAATATGGTGCACAACCGTTTCTCTTAGTCTCAAAGGAATAATTGGGAAGAGAAAGGTGTAGAAAACTCAGTTCTATAAAATCCTAATTTTCATTAATGTGAGATTCATGAAAAGGAATATTTTCAGAAAATGCAGCAGTTCATTACAAAGAAAACATACGCTGGCCTTTGAAATGAAAAATTACCAAATGATTAGGATTATAATAACTTTTAAAAATAACTCATCTCCTCCTTCCTTCACAAGAATTTTGGGCTGATACAGTTTGAATAATGAGAACCAATGGCCAGTTGTCTTATGTCTGCATTTATCACTAGCGAGGCACACACATTTTGCAAGGTTTTATTGTTTTTGACTTGAACTGAAGCCACCAGTTGGCTTGGAATTTTAGTTAATGAGGACAGGGAAGAAAGAGGAGAGAACTGTCTGATATTAAAGAGGAAAGCATGCCTTTACTTGATAAAGTGTCTTTTATATTATTTCCTACAAATTTAATTTATATTTTGTTCTGAGTTCTGATAGAGGAATGAAATAACAGCACTACTATAGTTTAAAACAATCATTAATAGAAAATAATACCTTGGCTCTTTCACATTTCAGTCTTTTACATGTTAATTATGTGTTAGGTGGGACTGGACTAAGGAAGTTATTGGATGACAGTCCTGGAGGAGGGGCCACCTAAACCGAATTCCTGTACTGTGAACTGTTGAAGAGCTTGTGAGAAATTTCTCTCTCATGTTGTCTGGATGTCCTGTGGTGGTATCAACCAAGGAAATGATTAGGTTGGATCCTCAGGAGAGTTACTCATCTATTCCGTGCCTCCAAGCATAACTGAAACCAAACTACAATGGCATGAAGTGTTGAATTACAGAAAAATGGTCGAGTTGTTATCTCTGCTGCCTGTATTATTGAGATTAGGAATCATAAGTAAGGAAGTCTGTTTCTCCTTTGACTTTTTCTACCCTTAGGCCAGCTGAAGAAGCAATAGCATATTCCCCCTCCATGATCAATGAAAAAAGCAGAAAATCTCAAATAAAGGAAAACATGAGATCTGAGATCTTTTTGATCTGCAGTAAGATTGGAGTGAGCTTATGTAACAGTTGGGTTGGAACTCCCAAATGATGCATCCCCTTCTTTCTGGAGGGGTGCAAAGATCTTTTTGATCCACTGTTCATAGAATAACTCTTTATAGAAAGACAGACAGACATTTAGAGAGGTGTAAAAAAATCACATTCGAGTTGGGAGTGGAGTGACAAGAAATACTTAAAGCTTCAGATTTATTTGCTTTTCACTAGGTATATAATAATACAGTTTTTGTATATTTAAACCCACACTTATGTAGGCATTAAACTCTAGGAATAGTCTGTTTATAGAAAATAAAGCCATTTCTATTTGAAAACAAATGGAAAAAAATAATTATTTGTCCCCAAATGTGTACCCTTTTAATTGATCAAATGCTTCCAAGAAATTCTGCTGGCAATTTGAATACTCTGTAGGTGTTGTTGCTGCTCTAAATTTGTCTGCAAGAGGAATTGTAAATGCTATTTACCTTTTAATTAAACAAAGCATCTTGCAAATTAAACACATGTTCTTGCACATCAAAATTTAGTTAACATCCTTTTCATTGTTCATCCTGCTGACACTCT